ATTCTCTTCTGGATAGTTTCCTTTGCTTAACTTTTCTGGACATATTAGAATGTTTTGAGAAAGATTCTAGAAAAGTTTCGATTTTTGTGTTTTCGTAAAGTTTCGGACTTAAATGGTGTCGCGCGAGCTTACACAGGGCCCTTGTTCCTTGTTGTGTGCCGCAGGCTGCAGGGCGACTTCACGCGCGACATCCGGCTCGAGGTGATCGTGGAGGAGGCGCTCACCCTGCGCCGCCAGAACATGTCGACGCTCGTGACGGTGCACAAGTACAAGTACACCATGGAGCTGATCCGCTCGTCCCGCTTCTTCAAGCCCGGCCTCAAGTACTCGGCCTTCGTCAAGGTGGCGCACCACGACGGCACCCCGGTCCAGGACGACGTCAACCCCGTGTCCTTCCGCTACGGCTACACCTGGGACACGGACAAGTACCTGAGCTTCGACAAGCCGCTGCCCAGGAACGGAATCGTGCGGGTCGACTTCTACCCGCCGGCCGACGCCGTCACCCTCGGCATCGAGGCCAGGTACCTGGACCTCACCGAGTGGTTCTCGACCATCGACGCCTCCATCTCACCCAGCTCCAACTTCATCCAGGCCTCGCTCGTCACGCAAAACCCCAAGGTACGTCCCTGTTAGTTGAGTAGAAAACCGCCTGCGGGGTGTTGGGTAGGCAAGCCCGCAAGGCAGGCCTGTACGGCGGGGCGGCCCACCGACCGCCGGCAGGCGTTGAGCAGGCACCCGCAAGGCAGGCCGGTGCGGCGGAGCGGCACAGCGACCGCCCGGCGGGCGTTGGGCAGGCATCAACCTCAACCCTGTCCGTGCTGCAGGTGAACGAGGACGTGGAGGTGGAGGTGAACAGCACGGCGCCGCTGTCGCACCTGAGCTACCAGGTGCTGGGCCGCGGAGACATCGTGGTGGCGCACTCCATGCTGCTGGCGGGCCAGAGCGCCACCCGCTTCCGCTTCCTGGCCACGCACCCCATGGCGCCGCACGCCCGCGTCCTCGTCAGCACCGTCCTGGAGGGCGGCGAGGTGCTCGCCGACGTCCTGGACGTGGAGCTCGACGGGCTGCTGCAGAACTTCGTGGACGTGGCGCTGACGCCGAGCACGACCGAGCCCGGGCGCGACGTGGAGCTGCGCCTGCAGACGCGGCCCAACTCGTACATCGGCATCCTGGCCGTGGACCAGAGCGTGCTGCAGCTGCGCGCCGGCAACGACATCACCGAGGACGACGTCCGGGAGGAGCTGCTCGGGTACGGCCACAATCCGGCCCTGTCCGCCGAGCAGCAGGCTGTCGGCATCGACCTGCCCCTGGACCGCGCGCCCCGGACGCCGCGCAGCGCCCCGCGCTGGAGGCCCGGCGCCGCCACCACCCAGGAGGTGTTCGACGTGAGTGACGCGGCAACACCGACCGCCCCTGCTCCTCTGTCAAACATTCTGTTCCACGAATGAAAGAAACGTGTCGTATTTTCCAGAACGCTGGAGCCGTCATTCTAACGAACGGTTTCGTGATGGAAAACGTGAGAGTGGGTGAGTTGAGACCCCCCCTTCCCCTCTTCCCCATGTATTACAGCTAACCGTATAGTTTGTGTAGAAACCAAAATAACTTTTTAAAACATTTAACAATATCTGTGATTACCGAAACAAGTGTTTTCTTTTTCAAGAAAACCTTCACGTGGCTAACCAGGTTGCACCGTGCGACTAGCAGCACGTCTACTGATATTGCTAATCGAATCATTCCTTTTCTTTGGTTGCGTTTTAACGTGCCGCGTGCGGAGCGACGTCCGACAACCGTTTGTGTCGAGCAGCAACGTCACGGCAACTAATTATCTTGTACTAATCCGTGTACAGTGTCTTCGCCTTTCGAACTACTCTGCCTAACTTATTCTTACTCACACGGCCATGCCGATCTGTCTCTCTCTCTCTCTCCCTCTGCACAAAGCCGAAGCCAAGTGCACTTTAGAGTGTGTCCGTGAGGGAAAGGGGCGGGGAAAGGGCAAGGTGTAGCAGGACTTCAAAAAGACTTTTGAATTAAGTCAAAAGAAAATTGAGAGATAGTGCAAGGGGATGTGACCCCCAACGCCGAACACCTTCTGCCCCTCCCAGAGTACTTCAGTCGCGGCCTGGCGGGCCCCAGCGCCACCCGGGAGCACGACGTGAACCCCAGGGCGGACGACCCCGCGACCCCGAGGACCAGAAGAGACTTCCGGGAGACGTGGCTGTGGGAGCACGTGCTGGACTCAGGGTAGGCGACGATGGGGACGGACGAGCACGCACAAGTATATCATGGGGAACCACTGTGGGGAACGCAGGCACTGTATATGGGCCTTATGGGGGCGGTTACAGGAGGCCAGTCAGTCGCATGAATGCATGGTGTACATTCCAATTTTCGTTCTTGTCGTTTTGTTTAATGTTTTCTTTTGTGTTTCTTTGTTTTTGACTTTTTTTTAACTGGCAGAAAAATTTTGCATGCCGTACTTTTGTGCACTACACTGGGGGGACACCAAACACCACAATAACGGAAAATCGTGGGACTGCTTGGCTCTCGGAGGGCAATCGAATTTAGCTTTTGGATACCGCGTGAGCATGGCTCGTTACCGGGGAGCGCACAACGCCTTTCGCCTCATAACCTACGCATGAACGACTAACACGGACGAAGCTAACAAAATCAACCTCGTGCTCGCAAATGTCGGATGATTGCAATAAGACATTTCCCACTTGATCCCCCCTCACTTGATCGTGTGGTGGTGGGCACCGTATGTGCGCGCGTTTCTGACGGCGACCTCCTCGCATGCATCATCCCGCAGAGCACGCCGACGACCCCCTGCGCGCGCACAACCGGGCCCCGCACCGCCACCTGCCCGTGCCCGGGCTGCCCGTCGTCAAGCCCGACCTGGGCCCGCCCGTCGCCTACCTGCCGGCCACCCGGCCGCCGCTGGCCGGGCCGTACGCCTTCTCGCGCATCCCGCACCCCGTCTGGAACCACCCCAAGGTGTTCCTCACCAAGGCTCCGGCACACACGTGGCTCTTCGCCAATGTCTCCAGCGGGTATGCACCACGACCACGGGCCCGAGGGGTCCTTCTCTGTTTGTTTTTTTTAATCTGACTTTCTTTGATTTCTTTCAAATTTTTTAAAACGGAATTTTTCTTTATTTTTTTCGTGTGGTATCTTTATTTTTACCTGATTTTTTGAGGGGAAAGAAGGGGGGTGTACACTGATTGTTATTGAGTGAAGTACCCCTCGCCTGTGCCTGCACGCTTAGGGCTGCACCGGGACACACACTCTTTGGACGTATCATACCTGTCGCTTTTTGCATCTCCGGCCCGCGGCGTCTGGCTCGCGCCTCCTTTGTCTGACGCCATCCTCTTTATTTTTTTAAACCTCCCGCGCGCGCGCAGGGCGGACGGCCGCGCCAGCATCAGGAGGGCGGTCCCGGACAGCATCACCTCCTGGGTGGTCACGGCCTTCGCCGTGGACCCGCTGTACGGCCTCGGCCTCACGCCGCAGCCTAGCAAGCTGACCGTGTTCCGGCCCTTCTTCGTGACCGTGGACCTGCCCTACTCGGTGGTGCGCGGCGAGGTCGTGTCGCTGCCCATCGTCGTGTTCAACTACATGGACCGCGACGTGACGGCGGAGGTGACGCTCGAGCACGCCGGTGAGCTCGAGTTCGCCGACGTGTCCAACGAGGTCAGCGCGCCCGCCGGTGAGTTCCCTCTGGTGGCGTCCACCAAGAAAATTTCAATATTTTTTTTTATAAATGCTAGAAATTTTTTCCTTGAAAGTTAATTTGGTTTGAAACTCTTCCTTAAAAGATAATTTGTTTCGAAACTTTTCTGGAGAAGTTTCCAATTTTATCGAAAAAAAAATAGACAAGGAGTCGAACGGGACGGTCTCTTTGTCGAGCAGGGCTGGAGCTGTACCGCCGCAAGAGGGTGACCGCCAAGGCCCAGGAGACAGGCTTCACGTCCTTCATGGTGATCCCCAGGGAGGTGGGCAGCATTACCATCAAGGTGACGGCCACGTCGGACCGCGCCGGCGACGCCATCGAGCGCAAGCTGCTGGTCAAGGTGCGTCTCTCTGGTCATTCACAAGCGAGAAGATGGGGCTGGAAGCCCTGGAGAGTTTCCGGAAAATTTCAGGAAAATTTCCTAGATTTCGGAAGTCTTTCGTTATTTTCGGGAATTTTTGGAAATTTTCCGGAAAATTTTGGAAATTTCCAACCCTACGAAAAGAAAAGGTGCGGCCGCACGATATTAACCGCGGTCTCTGCCCGGCAGCCCGAGGGCGACACGGTGTCCAAGAACAAGGCCATCCTGGTCGACCTGCGGTCCAGCAACTCGTTCAAGACCAACGTCACGCTGCACATACCCAAGTACATCGTGCCCGGCTCGGAGCGCATCGAGGTGTCTGCCGTGGGTGACATCCTTGGCCCGACCATCCCCAACCTGGACTCGCTCATCCGGATGCCGCACGGCTGCGGGGAGCAGAACATGATCACCTTCGTACCGAACGTCGTCATCCTGGACTACCTAAAGGTGAGCTCTGATGGGAGACAGCTCTAGCTCTTAGTGTCACGACAATTCTGTCTAGGACCTTTCGATGAATTTCACAAGCAGCGTGTCGATGCTTTGCTGAAGTGTTCTACTTGTCCATGCAGAACTCGGGGATGCTGAGCCAGGCCGTGGAGAGCCGCGCCCGGGGCTACATGGAGCAGGGCTACCAGCAGCAGCTCACTTACCGCCACAAGGACGGCTCCTTCAGCGCGTTCGGCGAGTCCGACCCCAGCGGGAGTACTTGGTAAGCAGCAAACGACACACAAACGAACACAAGTTCATTTTACCTGAATCTGTTATTCGACTGACGGACACTTTTTTCTCGCTCAGGCTGACGGCCTTCGTGGCGCGGGCCTTCCGCCAGGGGCAGGCCTACATCCCGCTCGAGGAGCGCGTGGTGGACGAGGCGCTGCAGTGGCTGGCGGAGCACCAGGCGGCCAACGGCAGCTTCCCGGAGCTGGGCACCGTGGTGCACGCCAGCATGCAAGGCGGCGCCGCCCGAGGGCTCGCGCTCACCTCCTACGTGCTCACCACCTTCCTCTACAACCAGGTCAGCATCACACCTTAAGGGTGTGAAACATTTTTTTCTTTCTCTCAAGTAAATTTGTTTCTTAAAAAAATCTAAA